GAACCAATTAGAGAGATATTATTAGGTGAATTAATTTGTGCTGTTTAAATTTCATTATTTCAAAACTTTTTATTGACTGTCTCTTTAATTCATTAGAGCATTTATGCATCAAATGGAGGTGGTATCCTTTGTTGGATGTTCTCTTTTATCTGCTACGTTGGATTCGCTATTCGGAAAGTTGAATGGATATCTAAGTGCTCAGCTATGAGATTCAACGGAGGAAATACGTGCCCAGATGGAAAGCTGGAAGACTCTATTGTCCAAAATTACTGCTGTACTTAAACATGCTGAAGAAAATCAAGTTGCTAGCCAGTTTGTGAAGTCATGTCTTGATGATCTTAGGGACTTGGCTTAAGATATGGAGGACATACTTAAAGAGTTTGTGATTGATGCCAAGAGGTCCGAATTGATTGCAGAATCTGATGCCAGAGCCAAGAAGCGACAAAAAATCGCTTCCATTGTCATGAATTTATTTAGATCTAAGGCCAAGCTTAATCCAAAGATCAGTTCCGTGGTGAAGGATCTGAATGGTAGATTGCAGAAAATTGACAATGGGATGCATAGTTTGGGCCTGACCAATTGGGCTTTGAAACTTGAAGACAAGTCTCACAAAGTAGCTGCAAAAAGATTACCTGAGTCTTCTCTTCTTGAAGATATGGTGTTGGGTCGAGATAGTGATAAACAAGCTATTCTTCAAAGGTTGCTAGAAGATGGAGCCAGTCTTGAACAGGACTTTGTTATTCCCATTGTTGGAATGGGTGGAATAGGCAAGACAACTCTTGCTCGGCTCATTTACAATGATGAGAAATTGGAAGGCAAGTTTGACTTGAAGGCATGGGTTTGTGTTGCTGATGTATTTGATGTTCCAAAAATAACAAGAACCATTTTAGAACAGGTAACTAGGAGAAAGTGTGATCTTGATGATTTCGATTCACTTCAAAAGGAATTGAAAGGGAAGTTATCTGGGCGCAAGTTTTTTCTTATATTGGATGATGTTTGGAATAAGGAATATGGCAACTGGGATAAATTGAAGAGACCTTTCATGTCAGGAGCTCTTGGAAGTAAAATAATTGTTACAACTCAAAATAAGGATGTTGGGATGATGATCAAAGGAGATGATCAAGTTTATAATTTAGAATTGCTACAAGATGATGCTTGTTTGCCATTATTTACACAACATGCACTGGGGAAAGAGAACTTTGATGCGCACCTAAACCTACAAGATGTTGGTGAGAAACTTGTTGAGAGGTGCAAAAGATTGCCATTGGCACTAAAACACTGGGTGGCGTCTTGCGGGGAAAGCTGTGTCGTGATGAGTGGGAGAATATATTAAATAGTGACATATGGAGTTTATCAGAAGATAGAAGTGGAATTCTTCCTGCTTTAAGATTGAGCTACAATGATCTTCCTTGTCACTTGAAGCGATGCTTTGTTTATTGTGCTTTGTTCCCTAAAGACTATGAATTTGACAAAAAGGAGTTGGTTCTGTTATGGATGGCTGAAGGC